GTGAAAATTATTTCATTTTAAGTCGTTTAGTTTTTAAAACAATAGCGTAAAAATTATATTAAGTCCATATCGACGTGCGTTACGGAAGAAGAGGACGTTTCTTTTGTCTTACAAAGACCAGCGTTTTTGCCTTGTGACCACAAAAAGCAGCACGTTCGGATTTTCGTCTTGAGAAATAGCATGTTTTCATTTATAGCGACAAAGAGTAGCATGTTGTGTTTTTTCGCTACGAAAACTAGCATGTCTCATCTTTAGCTGTGAAAAAAATTACATTAATAGGTGGCCTCGCATTTAATTCAACTGTTTGTAAAGCGAACTGTGCTAGCTACGGTAGAACACATGAAATATGCTACTTTTCGCCCTACGAAAAACATCACATTAGGTAGGTTGCCAAGAATTTATGTCAACTGTTCGTAAATTAAGCTGTGTTAGTGTTCGTAGAACATATGAAACGTGCTACTTTTCGCAGCAGTATTTGAAATACGCTATTGTTCGTGGCGAAACGTGATCCTTATCGTGGTGACTGTCAAACATGCTAGTTATCGGTGGAAACGATGAAACATGCTTCTTTTCTGGATAAATTGAAATATGGTAGTCTTCATAAGACCAATGAAACGTGTTACTTTTCGTAACGTACGTCAATATCTTGTTCTGAGCCAAACAACGTAAAAACCCTTACATAGGGGACTTAATTCAGTATTCACAATGTTCACCATCGTCGAGACTTGTCTTAAGTCCATTCAATAGTTCGAAGGTAACACTTGTTTGTCGTTGAATATTAACTAATGGTTTCAAAGTTAGAAGATTTTTGCACCTTTGATTTGCTTTCCTCTAAAGTTTGAAAAATGTGACTTAATACACTTAGGCTTCGGGGTCCAAATATAGAAATTACATAGAAATTACAGCTGATGAAGGGTATCAAAAGTAGCAATTCTGTTACTTGTCGCCCTCTGCATAATTCCCTGAAAAGTGGAAGGTCATCAAATTTGTATGTTGAGAGACGTTATCGAATGCTCGTCTTGGCTGCTCTTTCATTATTAATCGCTACAAGCACGATACCACCTCCGGATGTCGCATTAACGGATGCTTCCGTTGAAAATCGTGAATGCATCGCAGCTGTTCCGTGAGCATACATCGAAGTTAGATGAGATATTTCGGCAAACATTGAATCACAGTGATTTGTCAGAGCCATACGTAATCCCCCGGTTGGTGGACGTGGTCGTCATCGGTACGGCATCAACGGTGGAATAATTCAGGTATAATTGACCACCTCGGCTAATAGGGCCTGTTAATTAGTAGGTAGCTGCCTGGTGCAGCTGTTGTACGCGTGAGATATGATCCAGAGTACGAGACCAGAAGACACATGCGTGCGGGCGAGCGCCAACAAACGCTGAACATGAGACGCCAGTGTAGACCTGGTGATGGGATAAAATACACGCAAGCAGTATCGAGACTTAACAGATTACACTCGAACCCTTTACAAGCACTTTGCAAAACGAAAATAATACTCGCGGCTGCTCTCGCACCCTATTGGAATGGATCAACGGTGAGTAGATTAAATTAAACAATAAATTCTGACATTATCTAACTTAAGAGAATAATGAAATAGAGTATAGACCACAACCAAAGGAACAGATGCCCGCTACATAGTACAAGATTTCTATCAACCGGTACCAAATTACAACATGAGCAGGGAAGAGATGAGGATGGTGACACGACTTAGAACTGGCCATAAAGAAGACGGAACCACCGTATTGCTATCAATGTAATAACAAAATAACGATCAACCATCTAGTAGACGAGTGTAGAAGATTTCGAATGCAAATACGAAAATCGAATTTGAGCCTAGATACGGCTCTGACATCATGGGATCACATAAGAAACATCCTAAACTACCTAAAGACACTAACCTCTCCTGCAAGAGCTAACTTTCTTAATACAAAAGAAACTCTACCAAATTCGTCGCTAAAAACCGAGCGGTGGATGGGACGTAAATCCTAAAATTAAAAAAAGATACAATAATTCCTAACACTTTCCTTTTCTGTTAACGTTTACACACTACTCAAATCAATTAGAGGATCACGTATTGCAGTCGATCTGCTTCTCAGTACAATATATAATCTCCAAAAAGTTCTTTATACACAAATAACTAGATGTTAATAGTGTTAGCATTGTATGGAAAAGATGTCAATTTAGCAAACCTATAGCACTTAATATATTGTTTCTATCGTTTGGTGGGTGCAACAGGACTGTCACGATTAGTGATCCCCTAAATTTTTTAGTAGTGTGTAATACTAACATCGTTATAATACTGATTTAAAAAAAATAGCATTAACGTCCAGAAACGAACGTTATTGTTGTCATTGATATATAGTGCTGTTAAATGAGTGATAAACTTAACATTTTCTTCTATCACCAGTCCAATATTTTTTTTGTTTCTTAATATTTTACTGACGGTGACTGATAACACTGATGAATTTTTTCAACCATGAATTAGTAATACAACTCCATCTAGTGGTAAAACTGACAAAAAGCTAAGTTTTATCACTCTATATATATTAATATCGAAAATTACGTATTTAATTTTAATATTATCCATACAATATGTATTTGATACTATCAATAATTTTATAATGACTTTAAGTTTACGTCACAATTCATGAGTGTCCTACTACATATGGACAGGGTTGTAGGTAGGTACACCCGCGAGTAACACCTCAGCTTCCACTAGGAGAAAAAGTAACGTTGGGAAAGGGCCTCCTACTACTTCGTATTTGGAATTACAGAAATGTATGCCAAATTAACATTCGATTTAACATTTATTACACTACCTGTAATAAATTTACGAAGTGGTAGAAGACTTTTCTTCTATGTCGCTTTTTCCCCTAGTGGAAGCCGAGTTTGCTCGCGAGTGTACATGAAATGAACTATTCGTTTCTATAAGTACTAATTGAAATATTGAATTAATTGATCATGAGTATTTACTACAGAACTTTAGCCTCTTATTACGTGCAGTCACGTGGACGGTGCGTGGGATCCTTTGCATTCTAACATTTTTGTGTAAACGCATCCCAGATCCTCCACATACGGGTATCCTGTAGCCTGAGGAATTGCTGGATATACATACGTGTATGTACACCGATGAGCAAACTCGGCTTCCGCTAGGGGAAAAAGTGAGGTAGGCGAAGGGTTCCTCCTACCATTTAGTTTTGGCAATTACTGAAATTTATACCAAATTAACATTCGGTTTAACAGTTATTTCAGTACCTGAAATAAATTTTGCTAAATGGTAGGAAGCTCTTTTCTTACGCCACTTTTTCCGACTAACGGAAGCCGAGTTTGCTTGTGGATGTATACCCACGAGTACTTTCCTACACAAAATCAGCTTCCGCTAGGTGAAAAAGTGGCGTAAGAATAAAGGCCTCCTACCGCTTGATAAATTTACTTCAAATACTGAAACAAATGTTAAACCGAATGTTAATTTCGCATAAATTTCATTAACCCCGAGACTAAGTGGTAGGAGGCTTTTTCCTTACATAACTTCTTCCCCTACAGGAAGCCGAGTCTGCTCGTGAGGGTATAAAGTGATCCTAATATAAACAACATAGTCATCTTGTTTGGTACTTCGTCCATACAGTGTAACACATATAATCGATAGGTTAATATTAACACTATGACGACCGGCTAGTTTCGCGAGTAATTTTGACCAGTGGCCGACTGTCAAGAATCAACAAAAATTAACTGTTTTTGTTAGGAATCAACAAAATATGGTTTCTGCTATGTACGTGAAAAAATTCGGTTAGTTTGAATATTTAAAAAGTACTTATTAATTGACACTCACATGACATCAGTGTCGCGTCGTCGACCACTAACAGATCTGTTAGTGCTACCTGTAGTGCATACTGACACGACGCCGCGTCGCCACTGTGTACCTCCTATTTAGTGATGGCTGTAGAATAAAGACAAGAAAATTGAATAAGTAGTAGCATTTCTACACATTGTTAAGAAAATTTTAACTATTTTACAACATAAAATAGTTCATCTGTAATGTAAATAATAATATTTTCATGGAAACGCAGAATATTGAAAATATAAGTTTATAATTAGTTACTACTGTGTAAAAATTATCCTATACCAATTCAATATTTGAGCATTCATTTGCCAAACCGATTAACTCTACAAAAAGAAAAAATGTAAAATACGTAAATATAAAAAGTTAAGCAGCAATCAAGTAGTTTTGCACTAAAATTTAAAAAAATTCAAAAAATTGAGTTATACACTTTATCCTGTGAACCGTTCAATGAGGTTTAAATTCCCATCCTTTGGTTTGCAATAATAAGTGCATAATAGACATGAGAGAATGTGTATAATGAAATTGTATAAAGCTGTCCGTTTTTTACATACACTTGTGTTTTCTTTTTACTGTGAAACTAGTCTTTTGTACAGAACGCCTGTCACTTTGCCTCAGATTTTGCAGTCATGTATACATTGACTATAAAATACATTTTACAAGGATATACAGGGTAGGGCAATAACTATGTCCACTTTGAATAATGCCGTTATTTGTAATAATATTGTAAGGATGGTCGGGTCTCCTTCTCAATCGTACACGGAGAGGATAGGTGATCAAGGTTTAAGTTAATTTGTCTTTATTTCCGCCGCCGTTACGGACACGTCTCTCGCATGTTACTCCAGCAGTGCCGTCATATGCGCCTCATGCGCCTCTTACAGTTCGGCCAATCCTGACACTCAGGCCGTCCTCGGCCGAGATCGCAGCGCAAATATCGATACAAATAATAAAATTTATATAAACATAATATCCTTAATTAGATTACAAAACTTTTCTTACTCTACCTCCCCGTTAACTCAACGAAATTTCTTATTCTAAACTAACATTAAATCAACCACAATTTCTTATTTTGATATACCTGAAACGATGTTCTTATTCTAAATTTTTATTTACACTAATTCTTACTCTAGACGTTCGCTTTGATGGTGGTTCAGGGTTTTTCGCTGACCGGATCCTTCCACATTCTCATGTTCGCGGGTTCCCATACGCCTTTATATGGTTTTTGGGTCATCTGGAACCCCTCAATATCTGCTATTACATAACGATCATTTCGTAACTCTTTAACTATTTTGTAAGGACCTTTAAATTGCGGCATAAGTTTTTTAGACGCACCGGCCGTGCTATCGAAGTTTCTAATCATAACCCAATCACCTGTTTTATACTTGCGCATGTTTTTGTGTCTTTTATCGTATTGCTTTTTATTATATTCCTGTCCCTTTACAATTTTTTCACTTGCGGTTTTCCGCCGATTTTCTAGATTACGTTCTTCGATATTTATGTTTTGTTCTAAAAATTCACGTATCTCGTCCTCTACTTGACCATTTTGTTTTATCCCGAAGAGTAATTTACTCGGCGTTTCTCCAGTGGCTTTACTTATAGTATTATTTATCGCGTGTTCGACCTTACTTAAATTTTTATACCACGCGACACCTACTTCTTTGTCTGTTAATTTGCTAAGACTTTCGTTAACTACTCGGTTAACGCGCTCCACCTGTCCGTTTGCTTGAGGTGATCCCGTTGCAATTTTTATGTGTTTAATCTCGTATTCGTTCACAAAGGATAGGAATTCCGACGATGTAAACGCGCTGCCTCTATCTGATATCAGTATTTTTGGTTTACTATAATAATCAAAATATTGTTTCAGACACTCTACTGCCTCGCGGCTATTTGTCGTTTTTGTTGCATACAATTTAACGAATTTCGTGAACGCATCGATTATTACTAATATATATTTCTTCGCGGCTACTTGATTATCGATCGGCCCTACGTGGTCGATATGTATCGTTTCGAATGGAACAGTTGTTTTCGGTTTACAATGTAATTGTCGTTCTATTCTTCCGTGCGACGGTGAAACGCGATGCATTTAAGACAGTATCTTACGTGTTTTATGATTTTTTCTTTGAGATTTGGGAACCAATAATTTCGCTTAATATTTTCATACACTTTTTCGATCCCGCAGTGTCCCATCTCATCGTGATATTTGTACAACACATTTGTTTCCATATTTTTAGGCACGTAAAATAGTAAGCTCCCCCGTTACCCTTTCGATATACGATTCCGTTTCTCAGTTGGAAAAATTTGTGCTCTTGCCGCTCAAGTTCGTTCCGTTTCTTTCCGATCTCAGGATCTTGTTCCTGACAAAACGATAAATTTAGCTCAAAAGAATTGTCCTCGACGATCATAAAACCCCTCGTTCGACTTAACCCGTCTACATGTGTCATTCGGTTTCCCTTTCGTTGTTGCATTACATAGTCGAAGTTTTGGAGCTCCAAAGCCCATCGCTGTATTCTCGGATTAATTTATTTTTTCCTGAACGCGAGTACGAGAGAGTTGCAATCTGTAACAACCTTAAACTTTAACCCGTGTAAGTAGATCCGAAATCGTCGAAGAGCATAAACAATAGCGAGCATTTCTAGTTCGAAACTATGGTATCTGCTTTCGGTATCTGACGTTCTTTTCGAAAAATAGAAAACCGGGTGAAATTTTAAGCCTGCTTTCCGCTGCATTAACACTGCTCCGAATCCTGACGAGCTCGCATCACAATGCAACTCTGTCTCGTCGTGCGGGTTATAAATCGATAAAATGGGTGTTTTTTAATTAATTTCTTCTTCAAAATTTCGAAAGCCTCTAATTCTTTTTCACCAAAACAGAACTTCGCGTCTTTGCGTAGTAAGTCGTACAAAGGCTTAGCAATAATGGAAAACTTTTCTATAAATTTTCTAAAAAATAAACATAGTCCCACAAATCCTCGTACCTCTCGAACGTTCGTTGGAATCGGAAAGTTTTCCACGGCTTCTATTCCGCTCCCCGCCGGACGAATGCCCTCTCGCGATACCCAATAACCCAAGTATTCAATTTCCGAGAACAAAAATTTACACTTGTCCGTTCTTATGTCTAACTTATTTTTCACTAGGACTCTGAATACCTGCTTTAATACTTCCATGTGATGGATGCTCTAACGTCTCGGTCGAAATTAAAAAATCATCCATGTACGCTACAACCTCGCCCCTTCTTATGAAGTTTTCCAAGACTTTATTTACGTATCGCGTAAATCTCGCAGGCGCTGGTTTCTCAAACTGACCGAATGGAGTCACAAATGCGGTATATTTAATAGATTCTTCCGCTACTCGGATATGATGAAATCCGTCCTTCAAATCTAGTAAACTAAAATATTTTTTTCCTTCCAACAAATCTAACCGATCCTCAATAATCGGTAGAGGTTGGTTGTCTCGCGCTAAGGATGAGTTTAAAGTACGATAGTCCACGCACATTCGTGTCTCACCGTTTTTCTTCTTAGTAAGTACAATCGGAGATGCGTATTCTGATTCGCTGGGTCGTATGATTTTCCTTTGGAGCAGTTCATCGATCTTTTTCCTAACCTCTATCTTTTCTACATGCGACAACCTTCTCGGGGAAAAATGAAACGGATGATGCTCCTTTAACACCAACTTTATCTCGGCACTTATTTCCGGTGTTTTGTGGCCGCTCCGGTAATATGTATTCTCTGTTCAAAAGTTGTATAAATTCGTCCCGCGTTTCATGCGAAACTCCCGGATCTATTATTACCTCATCAACGATTTCTGTTTTTCCCGAGATTACATTGATATTTAGAATCTCCTGCGTTACATTATGCCGGTTCTTTTTGGCTTCGCATGCCAATGTTAACCCGAACTCATTCAACACATCCCTTCCCAATACTACCGCGGTTGTCATAGTATTGTTATCTACTACGTATAGTTGGAAATTCTCTTTCTTAGCGTCATCTATGGTAACATTTACACAAACTTTCCCTACTATATTTAATTCTGAATCGTTTATTCCGTGAAATCTCGAATTTGATATCTCGATTGTCTCTATCGCTTCGTTTAAAATAAATTTTTCTTTTATAAAACTAATCGGGCTCCCAGTATCGAACAGCGTTTTTAGACTAAAACTAAATTGTTCGTTGTCATACCCTAGTTCGTACTGGATTTTCCGCTGAAAGTCTTCGTCCTCACACCGTTCCGTTCTAACACAGGTAACCTGAACATCGGGCACTCTCTTCGTCTTCGGACAATCTCTCGAAAAATGCCCCTCCTCTCCGCATTTGAAACACGATCTGCTCTTCCTGCTCTTCGTGCAATCCTTAGATAAATGCCCCGTTTCCTGGCAGTTAAAACAGCGCGGAGGGCTTCTGGTGTTCGTCCCTCGATCGTTTCGTTCTGTTCCTCTCCCGTTCTTGGATTCCGGTACCGCTCCTTTCGTATGGTTAGATTCGGCGAATCTCCGAGGCCTCCTCAGTGACACCTTTTCAAATGCATGGATTACTTCCTCCATGCACGTGAAGTTTTGCAATTTCCCCTGGTTTCTCAACATCATATCGGGGATGCCCTCGATGACGTAATCCACCATCTCTTCGTCGTCCACCGGCACACGATTTCCCATGATGACTTTATCGTGCACATAGTCACTAAACGGCTCTCTGCTGTTCCACATGCGGTCTTCGAATTGCTTTCTCAACGCCAGTTTCCGCGGTCTATGGTCGAACATACCTTTCATTTTGTTGAACAGGTCGTTTAATGTGAGTTCCAAAATTTCCGGCCTTGAGTGGAACCATTCCAAGGCTTTCCCTTTCATTTTGGCACTCATTAACACTTTCGTTTTCTCCTCCGTTAAACTGTAAGTGTTCTTCACAAATCGTATTCGTTTTTCCCAGTTCGCGAATTCCCCTTCGCTTCCATCAAAGACGCCGATGAGCTCTGTCAGTTCGCTTAGAGCGACTTTATCACGACCATCTGCAGCCTGTTCGTTTCTTCTATTCGGTCCTTCGCCTAGGTCGTCCACCCTTCGACGTACCAGTTCTAATTCGCGTTCGGCTACCGCCCTTTCGCGACGACACAGCTCCAATTCTCGACGCAAAGTCGCCCTCTCACGTGGGTCTTCGTCCGTTTCGCTGTCTTCCTCTTTTGGTTCGAGCACATCGTTTTCCATGGCCACTGCTTTCACAGCCCAACTTCTCGACGGATCGGCCTCGTCCAACCTCGCGATTAATTCCGCTTTTTTTACCCATGATGGGGAGTTCCCGAACTCTCAATAGTTCCTTCAATTGCGGTATCTTCAACTCAGTTGGATCTCCTGCCCTGTTCATGTTGGCTGGTGGTAATATTCACGAAGAGAAAAAAAAAAAAAAAAAAATCTTCGCGAACGTTTTCATATGCGCTTCATATGTCATATGCGCCTCATGCGCCTCTTACAAGTAGTACCATTTTCAATGATGTCTTAAAACTATTTTACTTCAGAGTTAAATTTCGGATCATTTCGACCCAGTGTGACGGCTGAGGGTTAAAAACCAGCAGTATCCAAGAAAACGTTCCACTCCAAGTAAAAATCTGCAGATTTTGTTTAACAGGTTCATCTCGTACTAGTCGAAGAATTTTTGACCCAACAGTTATCGGAAATGTGATAAAGGATGACCGAGTTTCCTTAGGGGCGGGTCCCAAAGGGAAATGAAAGTAGTTCGAGAGTCGTTTGCAGGGCATAGATCGACGCGGAAAATGTGCAGACACGTTTCCCACCGATCTACATATGTATGTGTATGCACGTCGCCGCGACACTGGCCCACCGTCTCATCGTATTTCATTGGTAAACGGAGTTCGTACCAGCCTCCTTGCTTGTCTGTTTCCGCCTGTTTCGAGGGTCCACCATAAAGGATCTAGTTATCGTGAGGACACGATTTCATTTTTCCTGCCAGATCGGTTCCAGTCCGGGTGTCCTTTTAGCACGTCCTCAAACACTTGGCACTGTCTTTCCGTTTCAAAGGGACTCTGTTCAATTTGGTAAATTGGTCAAACCGCCGGTTTCGCCGACTAAACTTATTGTTAGTCGCTCTCAAAGCGAGATACGACGCCGAGTAACTGCTGAATCGTTACGTGGCATTTCATTCGAGTTAATTTTCGGTATGATGTTCAGGGTTTTAGTGCGTTACGTTCAATACTGGGTTGATGCATAAACAATGGGAATTGTCAAAGTGATATGTTTGTATTATTGTTACCTTATTTTTTTGCAGACAGATCATATTGTTGAAGTGATATGTTACACCGTATGTAATGGGAAATACATAGTTTTGGGGTTTCGTATGGAACAATTTTCATTATTTATGCATCAACCCAATACATTATCCACGTCGGAATGTGTATTTACTGACTGATAATGGACCTTAATTTAAATTTTTTCTTCTTCACTGTTTCTTACAATGTAAAGCTGTGACGTTACCTACTGATCAGCGTACGGCGATTAAGGGTTCATGCTCAGTCAGGTGGCCGAAAAACGAGTGTTATTTGGGAATTTTTTTTCTCGAAAACTATAAGACCTTTTTCAAAAAATATATTTGTGTTTCAAAGATTGCCGGTTCTAGATTATACGGTAATTTGTTTATTTAAAAATATTTATTAGTAAATAAATGGTGATCGATCTCCCGGATGTCTCTTCACAAAAAGTGGTCTGCCGTGATCACTGTAACTTCGTAACGGTTCATCTGAAATTAAAAATTCAGTAAGATTTATATAATGGAAGAACCAATCTTGTCCTTGATCCTGGGGTTTTTCGAAATATTGATTAGAAACAAAATAGCGGACGTTTTCCTGAAAAAATGCGATTTTCACCTAAACAATCGCTCATTTTTGGTCAATTAAAAAAAAAGTATGGAACGAACAAAAAAATCCTTCGTTCAAGGACAAGTTTTTCTGATTTGAAATAAAGCGCAAAAGACTTCATGTAAGTCGACACAGTAGTTTTCGAGAAATATTGATCACCGATTTGAAAAATGTAGTTTCGAGAAAAATGCGTTTAATGTTTCAAGTCAAGCTTACACTTATATAAAATGTTCATTTTTTAACGCCTGTAACTCTGTCATTTTTAATTGGATCACCTTGAAACTTGCACAGAATATTCTCTCGTGATGTTGTACTTAAAGAAAATGTAGAAAGTGAAATATCGATTTTTTGAAAATTTCTGACTGACAATGATCATGACCCCTTAAGTGCGAGCATAGCGCGACCTAACAACGTTTGTGCAGTTAATATTACCTCTAGATTTTCAGTCAGTTATTAAAACTAAGGGACGTGCAGAAACATTGTATAAGAAAGAGTTGTGTAATATGCATCAAACATTGAGCGGCTCATAACAAAAACGATCTTTGTCAATTTTTTTTTCATGAGAGTAGAAAAATACTCGGAAATTTTTAAGAATCGATCAGTTTTCTTTCTAGAATATATCAGAATATAGATTGTTTTCGATAGTATAAGTTCCACCATGTTGTGACTTTCGTTTCTGACTACTAGAATCTGTTGTTATTACAAACCGAAACATTTGACAAAAGAATCAACCAAATTTCTTTCCAGAATACATTAGGATATGCATAGATTATTTTTTATGGTATAAGTTCGACCATGTTGGGAGTTTCGCTTCGGGCTACTACTATTTGTTGTTATCACGGAAAACAAAACATTCGACACGGGTTGTTTCTGTTATGAGTCTCTCAATTCATCTCTTACGTGCTTCCTCAATCTTGCAAGACGTAGGTAAGCTTAAGAGGTATTTTCTGAAACAGCTGACGTTGGCTCATTGTGAGTATTTTTCTCAGCAATTCTCACGAATAAAATGTAAATGGAATCACTAGACTTTTTTTACTCAATCACTTACTTTTTACTCAATGTAAAACTACACACCGACAAAGAGACATAAAGGCACATCGACTTTATCTAGATGACAATTGTAACTTCCGTCCTTGTTGGATTTGACCTTTCCTGTTCTTAAAAAAACGATCTATTTCGTGAAGCTTGTAACAGGTTTAAAGGATGTCGACTACAGGGGTAATTAATTCACCAATTTAAGCTCTGGTGATTTATATTATCCCATTTTATCTGTCTGGAATGCATTTCTCTTCGCGTAAATCACAAGTCCGCCTTAACAGGTAACAGACGTTTCCGAAGGAATATAAGGTTATCTCACCCGAAAATGCCGAATTTCGCGCAAGAAACTTGCAGCATTTGTATTCGCTTGCCGTAATCCTGTATTTATTAAAATCTTAATTTGAATAAAATTATAGTGTAGCCTTGCGGAATATTTGCTTGCAAAATAATAGTCCTTGATATAATATCATAATTGAACAACTGATTCTGTGAAAAAAGTTGTAACCGAAGTATAGTACGCTTTTAATGATTCTACTGTGCCTTTACAGTTAATTAATTATTTAAGTCTTTCAGCTTTGCGGGAACACATCTTACATTGATTACCACACTCTTCTTATGTAATGAAGTTATTTGTCTTAACTAGTATTTACAGCCTATTACAGTCTATTCCTGAATCTTCTCAGCCTTACACAGTTTTTTTGGCTTGCGTACATTGTGGATTGAATGCTTTCGCCTGTAGCAGATGCACTACATTCAATATTTTCTCACTTTTAATACGTGTATTATCAATTTTACATTAAACCATTTCAAAGTTATCACATTGCATAACTGTTACACAATACAGTGTAAACAAAGTGTAGAATATTGTATAAGTTTCGAGAACCTTTAGACCTTGAAAATCGTTTTTTCTTCCAAAATATTTACAATAAGATCATAACTTGCATTTTTTATTAGGCTTTTATTTACTATGAATAAGAAATCGAATAATTGACAAATATATTATACGCACATGACTAACTTCTAAGCTAAAAGGAATATACAAAACTCCAGGCCATTCAATCAACTCGCGTGTTTCCTAGTAACATTTTCATTATTCAATTCAGCGCATCAATTCAAACAATATTGAACTCCTTGATCTCTCTTAATATATTTCCAACAATCTTAAATGATTACGGAAATTCACGTTACTATATACAAATCATAATAAAATAAACACATCTGTGGAGAACAGTATCGTTTATATAAGAATACGAATTTACACAAATATCTATAGTTTAGACATTCCTTTATCAAAATCACATTCTAGGCGAACAAGATCTAATGCAGTGGTAGCTCATTTATTGCAACATTCGGGGCTGTAGAGAGCTGAATTTCAGGAATACTGCAATAAGCGAGCTCCAATCTCCAATCACCCGCACCGCGCGCTCTACCTGTCAATCGACTGTTCACTTGTTCGACATAATTAAATACATTAGGGTGTTCTGGATGTGTGCACATTCTGGTAATCTTGATTATCTCCGTTATTTTTCGAGATATCGAAAAAGTTTATTCGCAGAAGTTGTTTAATATGGAGGGGGCTGTTACTTGGCAGTAACAACATTGGCGTAACTAGGATTTTTGTCTGACTTTCGCCCATAACACTCCCCATCAGGCACATGTATGTATTTTATACCATGTACGTGGGTTGCATAAAATAAAGTTACACATTTTACAATAATTATTTACATATTTATTTAACGCTGAAACTAAGAATAGAAAGATATAAACAGAATTCTTAAAACTAAAAAAAATAGGAAAACATATTGGCGATTGATTAAAAGCAAGAGTATATGATGTACAGATACCTATAGTTAAAATCTATAGAAGCTTCAATTTGCTGTTTTTTTCTGCAAAAATATTTTTTACATTCTCGAGCGCTAGTTTCCAAATTACATTCGACCCTTCAATTGATGTTACAGGATTATTGGTTATAGTACAATAATACTTTAACGTAATGAGGAGAGTATTCGGCACAAGTATTTATTTTTTATAACATAAGATTTTACTGACTAACGAACTTTTTTTTACATATTTCAATAATTTCTGGATAGGTAGGCTAATCCGCATTTTTTTCAATGGTACTGAAGTATTGTGGAAAATAAATACTTTTTTTACATAAATCAATTCTTCTAAAAATTCTGCGCAATAAAATATTGATGTATTATATGAAAAAAGTTTATTATACGTGAAATATTTGATATAAAACATTTGAAATACGTCATAAATTGTTAATTGTTTTTCGATCTACAAGAAAATTATTAC